CCTGAGCTGGAGTTTTGCATACAGCCCTTTCTTCTTCATTGGAGGTGAGCCCTGCAAAACTTGTGTCCTGGTTGGAGATGACCCACAAAAACTGGGTATTCATGGCCAGGCCCTGAGATTCGCAAGCCCAGAGGATCACTTAGAAAAGTGACATAGGGTTTCTACAGACGGCGCTTTGTGCCATCTTGGAGGCAGGGGAGGGGAGGGGCAGCCACACGCCAGGTGCCCCAACCCCTCCCTGAGGATGTCATGACAACGCCTGCCATTACGCATGGCGTGCGCCATCAAGACATCCTTCTGGTGCAGCATCTTGATGCGCTGCCCCAGAAGAGATGTAGAAGAGCTGCATGGTGGCTGTTGATGCATCCCTTCTGCCCCAATCCTCTGCTTCCCAGGGCGGCCCATGGCCGCCCGTCTACATTCCCCCATAGAATCATAGAAACATAGAATCATAAAGTTGGAAGAGACCATAAGGGCCATTCAATCCAACCCCCTGCCATGCAGGAACTCAAAATCAAAACATCCCCAATAAATGGCCATCCAGCCATTCACAGAATCCCCCAGGCAGCATATTATTTTCATAGAGAGCAATAACAACAATCCTTTTCTAATCTCTGCTTTGAGACACATTGAAATATGTCAGCTTTTTAATCACAATCTTTGGAAGAATCAAATGGGAAAACCAATTTAAAAAAAGAAAAGAAAAGAAAAAAATATAGGTTCACTACTAAATTTTTTATCTGAAAGAGGGTGATACTATTGGAGATTTCATTTATTTGTGGCATGAAACATTTTGGAACATATCAAATATGTTTTCAAGATCAGAGAGTTAATGAATATTGTTATGTGGCTCTCTGTGACTGCAAAGTTATAGACCTGCTTCTGTGAAGTGGGTATGATGGTTAGCATATGCCACCTTATTATATTACTGCTGCTCTAAGCAAGTATAGAATTTCCATCCAGAACACTGGATATAACATTTTGTTGCTGATTGCAGTGGAAACATAATATGCCCTTTTAGCTTGCATTATATTCAGAAGTTACCTGTCAGTGTAGACCTAGAATTATGTGCCAGGAAGCATCATGATAGAGTGCTAATTCCAAAAGTATATTTAAGAAAGGGGAGGTTAATCTTCATTATTTGTGAATAATTGTGTGTGTCTGTGTGAGAAAGAGAGAGAGAGAGAGGAGGGGGGTTACCTGGCTAAGAATTTTTTTCTTGCCAGACTCCAGGTATGCTTCACTCTTCACCTGCTCGTGTTGTTCTACATTTGCTTTGAACATATTTCAGATGCTCAAAATAAGTTTCCTGTTCTACAACCGTTATTGGGAGTTTTTCACCATGACATCAGATTGTCATTTGTTTAGCTGAATAACATCTTGGCACAAATATGTGATTCCATTAAGCATATTCTTGCTTTCCAAGTGTTTTAGACTTCGACTTTCAGAAGCCCCAGCCAACTTGGCCAACATTCAGGAATTCTGGGAGCTGAAGTCCAAAACACCTGGAGGACCAAAGTTTGGGATCCACTGCTCTAGTGTGTGTTAGGAGTATGCGTGAAGAGAGCCAGCATGTTATAGTGGTTTGAATGTTGGACTATATATGACTCTGGAGACTAGGGTTCAAATCCCTGCTCAGCCACAGAAACCTACTGGATGACCTTGGGCCAATCATACTCTCTCAGCCTCATAGGAAGGCAAAGGCAAGCACCCTCTGGACAGATCTTGCCAAGAAAATCCTGTGATAGGCTTGTTGGGTCACCATGTGTGTGTAAGAGAAAAAGATATGGGGATTAGCAAAGGGAACTATATTATATTGAATGTGCAATTGTGTAAATATTTTAATGGTGTGGAGCAATTTTGGAGTGGGCAATGGGACCATGACATGTAGAGAGGGAAGAATAATTCTTTCCATGCCATGAACCTTGGAAGTTTTCTTCCCATGCCAAATGAGATGTTTCTTGTTGGGAACATGGGCCTGTAACTTGTAAGGCCAAGATGCTAGAGCAACTGTTTGTTGGATATTTTCATTGCTCATCTAAGGAGCAGTGATGATAGGGAGAGCTGGTGGAAGATGGAGAGAGAGTAAAAGCCAACCAAGCCAACCAAGATGCCTAACAGAAACTGGCTCTATTCACAGTTGACTTTCACTTCAGGCTTTGAGGGAATCTTTGGAGTAATTGTGGAAGGGGTGGCTTGGGAGATCCCCTCTTGAAAAGGTACAGACAGTTCCCTAGGCCACTCTTCCCATTATGCCTTGTTTCCAAAGGACCTCCCTGAAATGCAGTACTGAGGTGACAGAACTGTTCTTGCATGTGCTGGATGATCTTTGTAGTATGGGATGTTGTATTCTTTCAAAATTCCATAGGAAAGGCTTATAGATTTTCTCCCCAAAAGCTATTTTTTACAATTTTAGAAAGATCCATAGAAATGCAAGTGATGCATTTAACTTCACATACAGTTTGGTCCCCTAAGAGCTGCACTTTTTAAAATTATCCTTGATAATCATGTATTCATATAAACAGCACACACATACACAAATATTCACCATGAAGGCAGTTTAAACCTATTTATGAAAATTCCCTTAAAGCAGGCATGTAAGAAAGGCCCATATATTCTGCAGAATTAAAAGATTAGTGAAATGCCTCACTTATTAAATTTGTTCTTCTCCTTCATGGCTTAAAACAGGGGTAGGCAACCTTTCCCCTTTAAGGGCCAAGGAACTTCAGCTCCCAGAAGCCTCAGCCATGTTGGCCAATAGTCCCATGTTGGCCAATAGCTCCTGGGATTCTGGGAGCTGAAGTCCCTCAGCCCTTAAAGGGGAAAGGTTGCCTACCCCTGGCTTAAAACATCTAGCCATTTTTTTAAAAAAAACTTCTAGATATGCTTCTCCTGTTTCTTCCTAATTTTCCACCATCCACCTGAAGAAATTTTCAGAAGTCTAAAGCTTCCATATTGTTGCAGAACTGTGGCTGGTTCTAGCTATGGTTTTGCTTGCCTATGAATTTGGGATTTTGGTTTTCTTTCCTTAACTCTATGTTGCATCATTATGATCATCATCATTACTCTCCCTTCAGCTAATAAAGTTTGGTGGATACCTAGTCATTTTGCCCCCTGTTCCAGAGCTAATTAAGCATGAAAATCACTAGTTAGATAAAGAGCCTGCAAAGCCAACATACTCACCTGCACGGTTTTTGGTTGCTACTTTGAAACGAAGCCAGATCAAACCAGCCCTACTCAGCTCTGATATAAAGTGCTGCTCCCAGAGAGCTCATCCTTTCATGGAAAAGTACTGAGCCTGTTCAGTGCTTTTGCTATTACTGCTAACAGTGAACAACAGCAGGTCAGTGGAAAATTGGAGAAAGTCATCATCAGCACATAGAGCTTTAAGGGTATTATTTTTAGATGCTCCTTTTCTTTCTGACTTCATACAATTCATTGCAAAAGAAGTAGGGAGGAAGAGAAAAGAAACAGAAACATAACCCTGCTGCCCATCTTTGAGAATTTATTGGCAGCTGATATATTATGCATATTGTAGCCAGCATGGAATGAGAAGGAAAATAAGTAAGAGAGGATTAGCACATGTGACCCACTGGAATAACACAGGTTGTTATATGCCTATTCAATTGAATATACTTTTCCTCCCAGGAAGAGGCCTCACTGCTTTGTAAGTAGTGTTGCCTTTTGTGACATGGTGGATACATGAGGTTTCTTTGGAAAGAAGAAATAGGGCACAACAAAGAGCTGTTAATTTGCAAAACGGCAAGTCTGGTTGAAACTGATAATTAAGCATGTAGCACTTAACAGAGCGATATGAAATATCGTCAGGTGTCCCAAAATTCTATGGAATTTTATTCCTTTTCAGTTAAAGTGCCAAGAGGGACGTTTGGGAGAAGTTCCCTGGAAAAAAAAAAGAGGTACTGTGCAATACACCTACAGTACATGTTGCTCTTTTTTGATAAAATTACCAGCTTGCTAAATGAAGGGAATGCGGTAGACATAGCATATCTTGATTTCAGTAAGGCTTTTGACAAGATCCCCCACGATATTCTTGCAAACAAGATAGTAAAATGTGGGCTAGACAATACAACTGTTAGGTGGATTAATAACTGGTTAACTGACTGAATCCAAAGGGTGCTGAGCAATGGCTCCTCTTCATCAGAGAGAAGTGACTAGTGGGGTGCCATAGGGTTCTGTCCTGGGCCCAGTGCTATCCAACATCTTTATCATCAATGACTTGGATGAAGGAATAGGGGGCATGCTTCTCAAATTTGCAGATGACACCAAATTAGGAGGAATAGCTAATACCCCAGGAGACAGGATGAAAATTCAAAATGACTTTTAATAGATTAGAAAGCTGGGCCTAAGCTAACAAAATGAATTTCAACACAGAGAAATGTAAGGTACTGCACTTATGACAATTTTTTAAAATGAAATGCATAGATATAGGATGGGGGACACCTGGCTTAATGAGACTACATGTGAAAGGGATCTAGGAGTCCTAGTAGGCCACAAGTTGAACATGAGTCAACAGTCAATGCAATGCATGAGTCAATGCAATTTTAGGCTGCATCAACAGAAGTATAGTATCTAGATCAAGGGAAATAATAGTGCCACTGTATTCTGCATTGGTCAGGCCCCATCTGGAATACTGTGTCCAGTTCTCTTCCAACTCTATGATTTTATGATTCTATCAGTGAAATTAGGGTTTCCAGGAGTTCCATTTTGTATGGGCTATCCCATATTTGGAGTCCTAAAGTCAAATCCAGTATGAGGCTCATACAGGAAACCCCAGATCCTGTATATGACAGCAGGCCCCAGCTACGTTGACATCAGACTGTTGCTGTTTTGTGCCTTCAAGTTGTTCCCAACGTATGGCAATGCTAAAGTGAAGCTATCATGGGGTTTTCTTAGCAAAGTCTGTTCAGAGGAGGTTTGCCATTTCCTTCTCCTGAGGCTGAGAGAATGTGACTTGCCCAAGGTTACCCAATGGATTTCATGGCCAAATTGGAAGTTGAACCCTGTTCTCCAGAGTCATAGTCCAGCACTCAAACCACTACGCCACATTGGCTCCTCAACCTGACTGACCCTTGAACATTTGGTATGTTTGCAGAAACCAGGCCTTACATATCAAATTCTAGGGGTTCATCTGCTGGAATGGTGCCACTCTTCATTCTCCGCCTGTTTGAGTAGCAGAGTAGAGTTCTCATTTCATGATGGCTTGCCTATTGTGGGATTTGCATGGGTTTGGGGGTCCCACGAGATTTGAAATCTTGCAGGAGACCTGAGATCTTGCAAGAGACCCGCGGCAGTTGGCGGCTCTTGGAACGCCGCTGGAGGACTCCCAGCCCAGCCGGCCCTCACTAACACCGGGCCTGAGAGACACCTGCGGGCCCAGAGAGGCACCTGCGGCGAGTGGGGAGGGCTCCAGCGGTATTAAAAGCCCGCCCGGACCATCTTGCGGCTTCTTGAACTTCTTGCAGTGAGGTGTGGTGGTTATGAGACAACGGATTTACCATCTCAGCTTTAAGAGTTCCGCCCGGACCATCTCCTCCGCAATGGCGGTAGTGGCGGTGCCTTGTGCCGATTGTGACTCCCCAGCCAGCCTGCCCTCGCTAGGTAACACCTATGGCGAGCGGGAGGGCTCCAGCTCCAGCGGCATAAAAGAGCTCCGCCCGGACCATCTCCCCCGCAATGGCGGTAGTGGCGGTGCCTGAGCCGGTTTAATGATAAGAGAGATTATGGGACACTTTTGGGGGTGGGGGTAGGTAGAAGAGATGGGATTTTAACGGTGTAATGTATTATTGTACTACTGTTGTTTACTTTACTGTAATGTATTGAGGTATTATTGTTGTTATTGTTATTATTTTTGCAATGTATTATTGTATTATTGTTGTACTGTACTGAAGTATTACTGTTGTACACCGCCTCGATTGGTTATGCAGAGGGGCGGTATATAAATAAATCATATTATTATTATTATTATTATTTAAGAGGTTGTCTTTAAAGTAGGACACATGTGGCTACCCCATGACCTAGCCTGCAAAAATGTAGAATTGTATTATACATGTCAGCTCAATATACACACTTATCATTGGAAGAGAGTAGGTTTTTTTTAAGGGAGCTTTTTCATCTTTGATATGTGAGATCAACTAAACATATATGCCAGAGTTTCAACCTAAGCAGCAAAGGGAACCTTTCAACCCTTTAAAAAGGTGAAACAATGCTCCTAAAGTCTCCTTGAAGTGGGAATTGATCCAGGACTACAGCACTTTTAGAGTAAGAACAAAATGGTGCAGCTTCTAAAGCCATGTCTTTGA